AATGTACATCCACTTCCCAAACAGTTAAAAAATGTCAAATGTGTCAATTTAAGAATATTACCTACATGTTGAAATCATTATGTTTTGAATATATTCAGTTAAATATATGATTAAAATTAAGTTTATTCGCTTCTCCTTTTCAAATGTGGCTACTGGAAAATTTAAAACTACATATGTAGTTTCTGCTTGCAGCTCACATATTTCTGTGGGGTAGCGCTGCTCAAGGTGATATTTGGAGGTAGTTATCAGGGACAACTTAGAAACATTTGAGCTCTCTGGGAAGAGGCTATACAGAGAAAAAAGCAGATGGTTGAGGACATACTTATGGAACATGTCTACATTCATAGGTCTAGAAGGAAGAGAAGGAGACTGAGAAGGAGCTAAGGAATAAGACCAGAGAAAGGGTAATAGGTGACACCACAGGGATGTGCGGAACAAGGGGCTTTAGGAAAGAAATGGCTAGTGAATAGGATTATATAAAGTAACTTGGCCTTTGTTCTATTGCCATTGAAGAGCATATGGAGGCTTTTCCCCCAAAAGTAAAATGATCAAGTTTAAATTTTAAGAAGATGATTTTGGCAAGAAAATAATGAACCAGTTGGATTGATGGAGAAGCTGAAGGTCAGATGGATAGCTAGAAAGTCAGGGACTAAGAACAACCAGAAAGCCCTTAGGTGTCTATACGGCCAAATAGAAAAGTTTTCAGTTTGGGAAAGAACTTTTTATTTTATTTTCTTGCCTTGAAAAATGAAATGTTTTGAACCATGAGATATTGGTAGTTTAAAGCATGTGTCTCTGTTTATAGAATCCAGGAAGATGGGTTGCAATAACAATCAGAGTCACAGATGATTAAAGATGCTTTGTGTGGGAAAAATAGAAGGCTGTGAAGAAATAAAGACACAAAAATTACAGGATTTCTAAGAAACAAAGGTTGTCTTTTTGTATAATTGTCTCATGCAGAGAAAGCAGAAAAGAACATTATTCCTCACCCTTATTAAGAACATGAAAGTAGAAAAGAATGGTTTCTAAAAAGAATTTTCCTTGAGACCCTCCACCATACATTGTGACCATTTAAGGTATTTCTAAGTGCTTAAAAATTGAACATACTATAGCCTAGAATGTCCTTTGAGCAGAAATTTTGGTACAGAAAGTTATTTATTTGGAGTTTGGTTTCAGGCAAAGAACAGATAGAAATCTATGAAAGTTCAAAATTCAGAGAATTAAGTAAAGATGGGTTCAATATTCTAAAGGTTGTTTTAGTCCATTTTCATACTGCTATGACGAAATACCTGAGACTGGGTAATTTTCTTTAAAAAAGAGGTATAATGGACTCACAGTTCCACATGGCTAGTGAGGTCTCACGATCATGGTGGAAAGTGAAGGAGGAGCAGAGGCACATCTTACATCGTGGCAGGCAAGAGAGCGTGTGCAGGGGAACTGCCCTTTATAAATCCATTGGATCTCATGAGATGTATTCACTCTCAGGAGATCAGCACGGGAAAACCAATACTCATGATTCAATTACCTCCCACTGGGTACCTCCCCTGACGTGGAGATGACGGGAGCTACAATTCAAGATGAGATTTGTGTGGGGGACACAGCCAAAACATATCAGAGGTATTTGGATCCTGTTTAAATATATGTTATAAAATCTTTGTTAGTTTAAAGGGAAAAGAGAAAAAAAAGATGGCAAAAGGAAGCCAATGAAAGGGACCATACGAGGGGACTAAACAACAAGAAAATGGTCAAAGACATTTGAAAAATTTACCTAGATGGAGTACTACAGGATTTGGACACTCTGCTGGAGACTGAATTCACAGAATTAGGATAAAATGAGTATCTGTTGTAGAATAATTGTAATATGCAGTATCTAACATTTATTAGGCATGTATTATATACTCATTTATTTATTACAACAACCTCAGGAAGTTGATATTATCTCAATGGTACAGATGGTGCAGTGAGATTAGGTAACTTGTTGACGGTCACACAGGTTGCCAGTGAGCCCACGATGTCATGCTGGCTTCTTAAGTTCTTTGTCTTTTGTTTTTGTTTTTATCATGTGAATATTCAGCTTTACAAGGAAGGGAATCAACGAAGGGTTGATCTGACTTGTTTTCACACCGAGGAGTTAATATTATGACCCAAAAAGTTAATACCAACACTGTCAGTATTGTATGGGGAGTGGCAGGGTGGCAGGGAGTTATGAACATGGGAGACGATGCAAGGGCGGGCACTACCTCTCATAGCGGTCAGGAAGGGTGGTGAGACAGCCAAGTGGAAAGAGGTCCCCAGAGAAACTTCAGGGGCCTGCACACTGGGAGGAGTGCGCGCTGGGGTGGTGCCATGACAGTTCCACTGTTTGCAGTGAGCAGGAGCCTGGCGCCTCCTCTTTCTGGGTGGAACCTGGGATTCAAGCTGTGAGGCCGGAAGCACAGTAGGACTCTCGCTCTGCTGAGAGTCCCTGTTTTTCTTTTTTTCCTTTTTGCCCAGTAAATTCCATTTTTCTCACCCTTGAAAGTGTCTGCGAGCCTAATATTTCATGGCTATGTGACAAGGCCCCGGCTCGTAGCTGAACTAAGGAGAAAGTCCTGTAATAGTAGGACTAGGCCATAGCCAAAATCCAAACACAGCAAACTCCAAATGCGTGGATCCAGAATCCACACGACCAAAATCTTTGCTGAGCAAGGCACCTGGGAAAAAAACCTATCTCAGCAGTAAGTCAGGCCACATCAGACAGAAGCTAAAGGCCAGCCTGAGTGAGAGATGGTAGGGAAGGATAGATTAAGCAAGGTGGTAGGAAACAAGATCTGGTGAGGGCTGAGGTCAGCTCAGTTATCGAGGGCGGGGAAGCCAGTTTTCGAGGAGGTCATTTCCAGCCTCGAATTCCTACGTCTAATCCTTTGTTCTATTGGCTATTTCCCACCAATTCCTGGGGAGTGTGCTATGAATTGATGGGCACAGATGTGTGTAAAAGACAGTTACAGACAGTCCTACTTATTAAAATGTGGCGAGATGATGGACCTAATCATGTCTATAAAACCAGTTATAAGCTAAACCCATGCAGGTAGTTAGGTAGAACAGACACATTTAAAATTGAAGAGCACTTTAATTCTTGAATTAGTGTTAAATTCAGCCTGAATTTATTAGATAAAAGTCTCATTTCATGTAAGTAAATCTAACTAAAGACTTAACTAAATCTAACTAATGACTCTAACTAAAGCTATTTCCACAGAGATGTAAATTGTTCTTGATGAATACAATAAAAGCAAGTAATAATCACCTTTTGGAACTTAGAATAAATTCCCTTCAGGTGAAGGTTAAGCGCTTGGGAATAAGACAATTTTTTTTCCTTTCAAATACTCAAGAGTTGCAAAACTATGATGATAAATTGGAACATTTGGAAAATGAAGACAAAAATAACATTTAATTTATTGCTCATGTGCAATAATTCTAATTTTTGCATTCTTTAGGGCCTTTTTCTACATACATGTAAAAACTGTGTACTTACATAGTTTAAAATTTCATTGTAATACAGCGTGCTCCATAAACATTTTCTCAGGTTCTAGTACAGTTTTTGTGATTATAATGGTTGCAAAATAGTTCACTGCACAGAGTTAACATAATTTAATTTACTATTTTAAATTATTAAACATGTTATTTCTTTCCATTTATTATTAATAATACTGCAGTAAATGACCACATGGAACTTATGGTTATCTTTTTTTTAATTTTTAAATTTTTATTATTTTTATTTTTTATTTTTTGAGACAGAGTCTCGCTCTGTCAACCAGGCTGGAGTGCAATGGTGCAATCTTGGCTCACTGCAGTCTCCGCCTCCTGGGTTCAAGCGACTCTGCTGGGATTACAGGCGTGAGCCACCGCGCCCGGCCTAGATTTCTTCTTTTTTTTCATTGAAATACAGGTTCTAAACTGGCATTACTGGGTCAAAGGTTATGAAATTTTAATGACTATGCAAACTGACTTAAAAATAACTCCTAATTTAGGCTGGGAGCGGTGGGTCACGCCTGTAATCCCAGCACTTTGGGAGGCCGAGGCGGGTGGATCACGAGGTCAAGAGATCAAGACCATCCTGGTCAACATGGTGAAACCCCGTCTCTATTAAAAATACAAAAAATTAGCTGGGCATGGTGGCGCGTGCCTGTAATCCCAGCTACTCAGGAGGCTGAGGCAGGAGAATTGCCTGAACCCAGGAGGCGGAGGTTGCGGTGAGCGGAGATCGCGCTATTGCACTCCAGCCTGGCTAACAAGAGCGAAACTCTGTCTCAAAAAACAAAAACAAACAAACAAAAAAACCTCCTAATTTAACAAAAACATATGAGAATGTAATCCACTGAATTTTCACTTGCTTTTGAAATTATATTGAATGGTCATATAACGACTAATTTTTCTAATATTGTAGAAAAAATGATACTTTGTGTTAATTTGTGTGTCTGAATACTTGTGAGGCTAAACGCTGTCCCATACGTTTCTTTAGCCAACAGAAGGAGTCATAATTCTTTCATTCAGTAATTGGACAAATATTTTTTGAGCACCTACAACGTGCTGGGCAGTTTTTTTGTTTGTTTGTTTCAGAGCACACAGCAGTGAAGTAAACAAAACCCTTGCCCTCATGGATTTTATATTCTATGGTAAAAAAGACAATAAACACAATAAGTATTAAAATTATGGCATATGTTAGAATGTCATAACTGCTGTAAAAAAAAAGCAAGATAAAGATGATGAGTTTGTTGGCAGAAGTTGCATTTCTAAATATGGTGATCAGTGAGAAACAAATATTTGAACAAAGACTTGAAAGAGGTGGGGGTAGGTCTCATATGTATATCACAGGAAAGAGTGTTGCAGCCAGTGACGTTAGATTGTAGAAGATGCTAAGGGAATATGTGTGAGGTTTTGCAGGAGAATCAGAGAGGCCAGTTTGGCTACAGTGAAGTGAAATCTTTTGACTTTTACTCTAATAATGTTCCTTTGTTTCATAGGAGAGAAATATCTAACTAAACCCAACAGAAGAGAAAGTTTCAAGAAACAGGTCGTCACCAATACCAAAATTAGCCATGATATTCAGGAAGAAAAAAATAGAAACATGATAACCACCTTCAGTAAAGACCACGGTCTGATTCCATTGGCCAGAGCACAGCCACGCCGCCACACCTGGCTAAGGAGAGACTGGCTGAAGTTTAGCTGTGGATTGAGAAAGAGGAGGACACTGATTACTTATAAAAACCTTTCAAGCTTTGGCACGTTATTCTAGAAGCAACTAGATACATCATTATCCATCCGTGCTTCATTATCAACTGGGATAATTGCTAAAATACGACAGGATGTCTCCATATATCCCTGATCAAAATATCAAAGGAATGGGTCTCGTGAATATGTTTTCATGGTGACTGTGTTGGGCTCCATATTTGAAAACAACTGAGTGAGTATTCTATCTTTTGAAAATAAAAATAAGTCAAAACATTTATTTTAAAAATCCCCAATCAGGAGCACTACACACTGGGGTCAGTTGGGGGGAAATAGGGGAGGGACGGTGGGGGCGGGGAGCTGGGGAGAGATAGCAAGGGGGGAGATGCCAGATGTAGGTGATGGGGAGGAAGGCAGCAAATCACACTGCCACGTGTGTACCTATGCAACAATCTTGCATGTTCTTCACATGTACCCCAAAACCTAAAATGCAATAAAATAAATAAATGGGGGAAAAAAAAAATCCCCAATCAAAAATTTCCTGAATATTGTAATGTAGCTCTGGTTATAACACAAACAGCCACAAGGTGGCAGAAGAACTCCATTCTTGTAAATCTCTTATTGCTTCTTTATTTCATCTTCGGTATTCCATCTAACGTTCATTTGAAATTTAGTATTTTGTTGGTTTGAAAATATGTATGACTTAAGCCCTTTAAAGGATCTGGTTGCTTAAGTTTTAAATAGTCTGGAATATAAAACATTTATAGAAAAGAAAAATACCTACAGTATGAAGTTAGTGAACTATTAGTAATCCAATTAAATAAAATATCTTTGGTTTGGATTAATACATATTTTATTTTGATGTTTACTAAATAAAACTAAACATTAGGAGGTGAAGTATCCATAAAAACATCTTCATATTATTTATGAAGCAAGTCAAGGCATAAATGCTAAATTTATTCTTAAGGGAAACTTGAATTTTTGCTTTCATGAAATTACAAACTTTAAGGTAATCTTATACTGGTAAATCCAATGTGTTCTGAAGTTTGACGTGTCAAAGCCTATTGGATTTAAACAGATCTTGTATGAATCTTCTTTTCATCTCTTCAGAGGCTGATGGTAAGCAAGTTTTGCAGCACCTCACAGCTTGTGCTGTAACATGAGGGTAATAATGATGACTTTATTAGGTTGTTGCAAAGCGTCACTGATGCCGCAAGCAACGTTCTTTATATATGCAGAATTTAAAAAATAAATAAAAATAGTCCTTTCTCTATTCCCAATTTTTCTAACGTTATTTGCTACTGGTGTTTTATTGCAAGACCAAAGGCCAAAAAATATATGTAGCTAGCAGAATCAAAACCTAGATCAGATATTCAAAAACGTCATGCTGCTAAAAGATTTCAGAGTCTAAAACCTGTGCTCACTGTTCTGAAGCATCTTTCCACTTTCTGTTGAAAAAACATGATACTCTTTGGAGCTAATTTTTTTTTCTTCATGCATGGTAATTATATATTTGTTATATAGGGCATATGATGATTTGCACTCTATGGTGTTATTCAGTACATTGCAGAAAAAGGAGAATAAAGAATGTTGTTTGTCAATAGGCAATTCTGTCCTTATCCTTGAATGTAATTTACTAAAGAGCTTACACAATTACAGCACAGGTGGCAATTCAGCATATTACCCTGCAGACAGCCAAGAGACTGACACTGAGATTACGCTTTTTGACTTGGGTCCGTGTAAAGAACCTGATGGGGTTACAGGAATTCTTCATTTCTGTATTATACGGAAAGACGAGGTTGCTCATAAGAAAGAGCCACAAAAGTGCGTACTCTGGGCAAAGCTACTGATAAGGATGCTACAGGGATGCGTGGAAACTCAGTATGTGAACACTGAAAGGGCTTTTGATTCATTTCTATTTGGTCTCAGACGAGAAACATAGATTAAGAAAAGGTCTGAAAAAATGGGCACTAGGGAAAATGATAGGAAATTTTGTGTTGTTGACTGATGGCTAATATGAAATACACGTTTGTAATATTTTCACATATGTGATTTAATACACTATATTCTGTAATAAAATCTTTAATTCTAAAGATTGAAAATCTTAAGAGGATTTCAATTTTACAATTATAGCTGTTTTGTTTCAATAGGCTGGTGGACTTGGAAATTCCAGGTTTCTTAAATACATTTTGATGAACTTGAAAAGAAGGGGGAGATACTTTCAGATGGCCTTGAATGGGAGTAGGGGAGACCCCGGATTTCACTGGACACCTCTTTCTTCCTAAATGCCAAATATTCTCTGTAGTTGGGGGCCTCTTCTGACTAGTCAGCAATTATAAGAATGAAAATTGCCTTAGCAGCTATTCAGAGTAGGTCCAATGTATAATCAAATAAAGGAGATTTCAATATTCTCAAAGCAGAAGAGACAATATCTTTGCATCTGCAGTTGGAAAGCCTGGAATAATCTTCTTCCCACCCTCCACTGTGGAAATTCCTTCTGTCCTCAAGGTCTCTAGCTTATGATACCTCCATGGTGGATTTCCTGACTCTTGGAGTTAAAACGTTCCTTCCCTTGCCTGCACTCATATAGCCACGAGTTTATCAGGTGTTACATCCTCAAACAGAGCTGCTAGGCCAAATGTGCTCCCTACAACCTCTGATAGTGGCTTATGACTATTGAGCTGGCATTTTTCTCAATTCTTAAGAAAAATAAAAACCAGTGGTAAAATAGACATCATGTAAAATCTATTCTAACCATTTTTAAGCGTACAATTTCAGTGGCATTAAGTACAGTCACATTGTTATGTACTTATTACCACTCAACAGTTTTGTGTGGCTTTTCAGGGTTTTCTAAATATATAATCCTATTGTCTGTGAACAGATAAATTTAATTCTTCACTTCCAGTTTTATTTTCTTTTTTAGAACTTTTAATATTACGTTGAATAGAAGTCAGATTGAGAAGAAAAAATGTATGATTATACTTACATTAAGTGGATAGAAGTCAAATTCATAGAGATAGGAAGTAGAATAGTCTATGAAGGGCTTTGGAGAGGGGATAATGAGAGTTACGGTTTAATGGGCACACTTTTAGTCTGTGTTGATGGAAAAACTTTGGGCATGGTATATGAGCTTTTGTCTTAGGTTCTGATTTCAGAGAAAAATGGCCAATAAATGCTGCTTTTGTTTTGCCCATGGCTAGACAACTGGGGTCTGGGAACCTTCAAAGAATCCAGAAGATCAAACACAAAGTACGAATTTGAAAAATTATTCTCATATTGAATTTGTCTGGTACCTTGTTCTACTTTCTGCATCTTTCATTTCTGCTCTCTAGGATAACCACGTCCCAAATAAAGTGCTGCACCTAAGACTTTGTCTCATGATCTTTTTTTAAGGGTCACAGGTAAGACACAGCAGCACCATCATATAAGCTAAATTTGATGAAAAAAAACCTTTGGAGGAGACCATGCTGTTTTGGCTACTGTAGGCCTACAGTATAGTTTGAAGTTGGGTAATGTGATGCCTCTAGCTTTGTTCTTCTTGCTCAGGATTGCCTTGGCTATTCAGGCTATTTTTTGGTTCCACATGAATCTTAAAATAATTTATTCTAGTTCTGTGAAGAATGTTAGTAGAACAACATTTTCAAAGTGCTGAAAGAAAAACATCCTGTTACCCAAAAATGCTGTATCAACAAAAATATCCTTCAAATATAAAGGAGAGATAAGGTCTTTCCCAGACAAACAAAAGCTGAGAGAATGTGTCACCAGCATACCCATCTTACAAGAAATGCTAAAAGGTCTTCTTCAATTTGAAAGAAAAATACACTAATGTGCAGAAGATAACTTTTCAAAAAGTGTAAAACCTACTGGTTAAACTAGTTCACAGACAAACCCAGGATAATCGAATACTGTAATTGTGGTGGCAATTCACTCATAACTTTAGTATAAAGCTCAAAAGACAAATCTGTCAAAAACAATACTAGCTATGACAACCTGTTAAAAGGTAGGTAACATAAACATAGGTAAATCATAGAAACTAAAAATATGGGAGGATTGAGTTTAAATAGTGCACATTTTTTCATATTTCTTTGTTTCTATTATTCATAATTTAAGTTGTCATCTTTTAAAACTAACTTGTTATAAAGTGTTACTGGTAAGCCTCATGGTAACCATGATGCAGAAACCTATAGTAGACTGAANGGAAACAAAATAAAGCATACTACCACAGGAAAAAGAAATCACTTAACCACAAAGGAAGACAGTAAGAAACAAGGAGAGAGAGAGAGAGAGAGAGAGATCTCAAAACAAACAAAAAAATCAAGAAACGGCAATAGTAAGTCTTTATAAAAAATAACGCTGAATGTAAATGGACTCAATTCCATTAAATTAAAAGGCATAGAGTGGCTGAATAGTAAGGAAAGAAGGCCCACACATATGTTGCCTACAAGAAACTCACCACACCTATGAAGACACACAGAGATTGAAAGTAAAGGGATGGAAAAATATATTTCATGTAACTGGAAACCAAAAAAGTAGCTATACTTACATTGGATAAAATAGATCACAATTAAAGACTGTAAAAAGAGACTAAGAAGGTCACCATATAATGATAAAGGTGTCAATTAAGCAAAAGAATGTAACAATTATAAATATCTATGGACCCAATATTGGAGTTCCCAAGTATATAAAGCAAATATTAATAAATCTAAAGGTAGTGACAGATTGAAATACAATAATAGTAGAAAATTTCAACACCCCACTCTTAGTATTGGACAGAATTATCTAGACAGAAAATCAGCAAGGACATGTGGAGTTAAATTACACGCTAGACCAAAGGGGCCTGACATTTATAAAACAGTTCACCCATCTGCTGCAAAATACACATTCTTTTCATCAGCACATGAAACATTCACCAGAATACACCATATCTTAGGCCACAAAACAAGTTCCAAAAAATTTAAAAAGGCAGAAATCTTATCAAGTATCTTATCTACCTACAGTCAAATTAATCAAGAAATCAATAACCAGAAGAACCTCAGAAAACTCACAAACACATGGAAATTAAACCACATGCTCGTGGATGACAAAGTCAATAAATTAAGAAGAAAATTAAAAAAATTTCTTGAAACAAACAAAAATGAAAATACAACATACCAAAACCTATGTGATACTGCAAAAGCAGTACTAAAGGAAAACTTATAGCAATAAACACCAATATTAAAAAAGTAGAAAGACTTCAAGTAAACAACCCAACGATACATGTCAAAGAACTAGAAGAGTAAGAATAAACC